TAGACAAACTAGGGGCTGATCCAGGCGATCATTTGGGGGCGGGGAGGGGGGCATTGCATATTTTTAGTCAATAATAAGCATATTTGTTATTGTATTTTATATTATTTATGTGTTGTACATATGATACTAAACAATATTGTTTAAATAATTACAATTCAAACCTGAATAAAAATTTAAATACATTTTGCCTAATAAAGGAAGGTAAAGGAACACACTAGGCCTCTTGGGGAGCATGGCGCCCCTGGATCCGCCAGCGAACCACCACACTTGCGAGCTCCTCTGATTTCGGTTTCAGTAAGACGCGAGGCCCTCTGCGACAGCACTCACATGAGAAGCAAGGGTCAAACACCCACGCCCAAGGCGGGACTCGATCCCGCGACCCTTCAGGCCGAAGCGCTGAGTCTGTTCACGCTCTTAGCCACCTCCGCCCTGTCGGTCGGCGAAAGTGATGTAACGCTGCGGAAAATCGATTTCGAGATTTTAACGGAAATGCATGTTTGCTGATACAACAATAAATAACGAAAAAGCGTTGTTGCTTTTCTTTTTTTTATTGGAAACCTTCGTCCGTTTGTGAACAACACTAGCGGCTGAACTATTCGTAGACTTCCCCCCCACCTTCCCCTAAAATTAATATTCCTAAGTCGATCAGGCCCGACTCAACCCGTACGATTGTCAAAGGAACTCTTCAAATTTTAGGGGAACTTTATGAATATTGCCTCAGACTCTTTTCTTTAAATTTCTCGTTTCCTCCATTACTTTCAAAAACCGACTGCCTCATAAAAACTGCGCGAAGAAACGTGAACAGGGAAATCAGATAACGCCTGTGGACAAACTAACGCGGAAGCAGATGCGAAGAGAGTGTATAATCCGCGGATAAGTTGTCGCTGCAACGCTCCTTTCAGACTGGGTGGCATCGATTGACGTTCACGTTACCTCGCGCGACAGATGCTATGGTCAATGGTTGATGGTTGACGGTCGAGATAGTACAGTGAATGCTACAGCCCCGAGGGAGGGGGGAGATAATCCTCGACCGTAGGACCTGGATGCTGAATCCGGCGCTTCGTGAACAAAATGTCCATCTGAATGCCCGGGGAACGAACCTGCGCCCCCATTGGGGAACGGCTTTTTTTACCCTTGTACTGTGAGATCTGTAGGTTTAACCTGCTTAGGGTTTAGAGGACGTGAAGAATCCATTCATTTAGCCCTATCTGGTTACTACCCACTTCAAAAGTCTTCTGTACAGTCCATGTGACGTATTTTAGATGGCCTTGTTATGGCGTTTAAGCTAGCAATTTACCCCCATGAGCTCTTTTAGGTCCATAAAGAGTAACATAGAAATAAAAATCGTCGCTGTGTAAAAATGTGTAGAAAAAGTGCTGTTGTAAAAATGAAAGTTCAAGCTTTTTATAGACTCAACCCGGAAAAGGACCCATGTGCCGTTTTGTGCCCAAATGTCCTTAACTAGGGAAAATATCTGAATTGTTGAAGCCTCAGAATGTGAAGGCTCTGTCTGACTCAAAGTTGTACAGGTGAACATAATGATTTAAGAGTAATTATGATACGGAAAATTTACTGAGAACAATTCTTGTTTGAGGGTGGTTGTTTGTTGGTTGTTCTAACCTTTATCACAATTAAAATTCCTCTACAGAGTGGTACGCCTTTCTTGAACACAGTTTCCTAATTTTTTCTCTCGTTTTCCATTCCAATTTTTCCTGATATTACCAATTTGACACTACAAAGAATATTAAAGTTTCTTCATACAAATTGTTCAACCCTATGACTTCGCAGCGCCAAAGAAGAAATGAACAATACTTTTTCACTAAATAAAAAACGAGGAAATATTACAGCTGAACTAGCATTTTAAGGAATGATATGTAGTTTAATAACCCTCTCAAGATTTTAATGATTCTTCTAGAAATTCTCCGAATTTTTCCTGACCTTTCCACAGCAATGAAATTCCGTAATTATTTTCCAGTTTTCTATGTTTTCCACAAAGTGGCCACCTTTCTCTCCTCTTGGTGAGGTAGGAAAGAGGCCAGTAGTGACGGTGTTTTAGGGGAGGGCGGTTCCCACTCATGTTCGTCTAGACGGAATTCATTAATAAAAGATTTGCTTTGAAAGTTGAAGGAAAATGTACAATTTTTGAGTTTATTGCTTTAAGAAAATTTATTTCAACGGATTTTCAAAATACGCCCGCAAAATATTACGCGAAAACAATCGAAATGAATCGAAGTTGTTTTGAGGAGGAGCTCAGCCTTTCGTCTCGTGCGTTAATCGCCCCATATCCGTCAGCGCTCCTGCGGCCAGAAGAAGGAACGTTTTATAATGGAGCTGTATGGCAGAAGGGCACAATCTCCTCCCTTCATGTGACATCTATTGGCTTGTTTTTGAAGCAGGAGAACGCGCTAGTGCATCATAGGCAAGGGTCAGAGCAGAAGCATCGATCATCGTACAATTTGAGCTGACGGAATCCACCGGAGAACCGAACTACAGTTCCTTTTGTCTTGCCCCATCGCCAGTGAACACATGTAATCTAATGTGTTGTATGGTGAATTTGAAGCACTTTCTGCAATTTCATCTTTCCTCCTCGTAAGAAACATGCACAAGACCACCACCGGCGGAGATTTATCCAATGGGGAACTTTTAACAATTTTTGAAACGAAAGTTCCGGACGAGATAACAATACCGTGTGATTCACCAAACAGTACACTGTCAGAAATTTCCGTGCATTTCATTAACGTTATTATCAGGAATTCACATTAAATTTCACGTATACATGAACATGAGGATGCAGGTGTCGAAGCTTTAGGGTCATACATGGAATGAATGAATGATCAAGAACTCGTGATGAATACACGAGATGAATGATGAGAGGCAGGGGAAACAAGAGAACCTCTACATTATTTTTTTTGATTTTAATTTCTGCATTCAATTTTATGTACAAATATATTAAGCCCTTTTAATTAACAAGGTTACATTATGTTTCATGGTGGTTTGGTTCGTTGTTAGCTATTTAAAGCGCGTCCACTGAGGTGACGAGTCCCGTACGTGTAGTGCAGGGTTTCCCCCCCTCTGGGCGGTGATCTGCTGGATGGCTAATCCGGCACCAACTTTCCGTCGGCTAGCGAGGTTTCCTCCCCAAGCAAGTGACTCCCACAAGCGGGACACCCGCCCCAGCCAGGCCAAGCTGTGAGCTCCCGGTCGGTCGCCCGGCATGTGTAAAAAAGTGTAGTGCATGTTAGTGTGTGTATGTAAGGGGAGCGGATAAGATAAGGAAGGGAAAGGAAAGATCACGCGCGGTTCGTGGCTCGTTGCTCCGGCATTCGCGTGGTTCAATTTCCATATACAAGACATTAATCATCACTAAATTTAATGACATTTCAGGCAGGGTAGAGACATTTTAATCGGGGAGTAGCGCGGGCAGGTTGCTGGTTGGCCAGCGCGGGGCGAGAGCGAGTGGCGTTGGTC